CGACGCTCCGCTCTCCAGCCCTGCCTTTCCGTTAGCCTTTTTCACACATTTCCCAGCCCCACTAATAACTTCCCATGGGGCATCTCTTTCAAATCCTTTCTGGAGCCCAGACAGAAGCTCTACCCCACCCATGCCACCTCTCAAACCCATCTCCTTACAGGTAAAGAGGCCAGCTGCGTTTGGGGCCCTCCACAGCTGGGAAATGCTTGGGGTCAGGCCCCAGCCCTCCTCTTTCCTCTGCTGCTCTCCAGCCTCCCAGAAGCATATGGACATGGACACGGCAAGAGTCCTTGTCCCTGGAGCTGCCATCCCCTACGCGGCAGGCAGGGGACGGTCTGGTCCCCTAGGACTTGACCTCATCCAGCTCTGGGAGTCTTGTCCCCATTTCTGTGTGGTCATTTCCTAGCATGGATCCTGCTGAGCATCACCTCCTGGGGTGATGTGGTTCTGCTTGGGGACGGTACCGCTCTACCTGGCCTCACCACACCTCTCTGCCGCCTTCCCTCCTGCCCCCGTCATGCTTCCACAGAGAGCTGCAAGCAATCAGGGGGACGGGGCCAGGGCAGCGCTGGGCTCCCGTGAGCGCAGCCGCCCCACGGGGCCGCAGCAGCAATGCCAGCACGTTGCTGCTTCGAGGTTCAGTTTATAGTCCTCGCTCTACCCAGGCCATGCCAGAGCCCTGAGGACTGCAGCAAAGCAGTGAGCAACACGGCTGCAAGCGACAACCGCTGGCCTCGTGGTCTCTGCAGAGTGGGAGCCTCCAGGAACCGTGGCGGAGCACGGCGGGCATCAGCCGGCCCCGGGGACCAGCTGGAGCGAGCCCTTCGGAGGAAGGCTCTCCGCTCGCCCTAGCCACTTAAGTCCTCAGCAGTGACATTTGAGTCACCGGATCCCTCCGGAGACCGCAGAGGATGTTGTAGCCATGGGATGTGTGAGGAAGAGGGTTGTGGGAAGCAAAGCATCCTGCTAGGAAGAAGGAAAGGAGGGCACCACCCCAAACACCACAGCCTGGATCCAGCGGACCTGGCTCAGGTGCTGGTGGGGGCTCCCAGGTTTGCCAGGGCAGCGAGAGCTGGACACCTCCACACAGTAAAGCAAAACCTAACAGCAAATCAGACCCCTTGCCCATTGAGGGGGAAGCAATTGCCCGGAGCTGGGCCCAACGTGTCCTTCCCAGCTGCAGCCACCTGGATCGCAGCTGCCTTCTGGCTGTCCCAGCCATCAACCTCCTCCCACAGCTCACCAGCGCACCCAGGGGGCACCGCTGCCTGCAGCCCTCCCGCACCCGCCAACACC